TCTCTTCTCCCGTGATTCCTTCCACTCTATCAGCTGATATGGAAATGCTGGTGGAACCTGCGGCTGTTCGGGGGGTGCGTCCATCCACTATGCCTGGAGTTACTGGTTCGGAAGTGCTTATCCATTGGCAGGACCTGCCTGATTTTGAAGATTCATGGGAGCCTTTTGACTTACTTCGCGGCCAATTCCCTCATTTCAAACTTGAGGACAAGGTTAGACTTTGGGCGGCGGGTAATGATAGGCCCCCAATTAATTTTACATACACCAGGAAGGGGAAAGGTTAGCTGGCGGCCAAGGGGGGGGGGGGAAATAATTGAACATGGGGGAATTTATAGCTGGATGGAATAAGGAGAGTTTTTGTGGCATTTATAGCTTGTCAGTTGAGAATAGGAAGAGTATAGRGCATTTWGCATTTATAGCTTGTTAGTTGGGAATAAGAAGAGTGGGGCATTTATATTTCGGCCAGTTGGGCATTTATTATGGAAGACAATTAGGCTGTAAGATGTGTATAAGAAGGGGCTTTGGGGGATGAAGAAGGCAAACTTTTGCTGAGTACAGAATTCTGAGAGTGCTTGGGAGAGCCGGCGGTCTCTCGAAGAACCGACCTACTGTAAGTGACCCTCTTTTCTTCTGAATGAATATCAGTTCCCTGTTGAGGTACTAGTGGTTTGGATTCTGCTGTGAGTCTGAAACTGCGTGTCAAATTTCTGGGACATATCAAAATACTAGTTTGTTTTTGTTTAGGTTTTATTATTTTTTTTAATTTTTTTATAGTGCAAATAGGCAAAAACAAAAACTTAAAGCAAAAGTAAACAAGAATTTGCACTTTTCATTTACACTCCCATGCATTTGTACTAAAGCAAATGAAAAAAATCATTTTGCAAACAAATGAAGGCTAAGAAATTCCAGCAATGGAAAAAAAAATCTCTTTAGAAGACAAAAGTAGGTTTAATCAAATCAAGTCCTCTATAGTTCTTAGGTATTTATTTTCCATTTTCAGGGATCCAATGAAGTAATATAGAAAAAAAAAAGATTCTTGTGGAATCCAAGGGACCTTAAAAAAGGATAATCTTATCAACTGGCAAGGACTCAGGAATCACTGATGTTGGTGAAGTAGCTGGTAGTATGACCTGGCTATGAACTTGGATATTCATTTAAGTTGTCTATCCCTCCTCCATCAATTTCATTAGGTATGACCTTATTTATAGTAGGGAAATTTTACCATAGGAAGATTTGAATTTAGAGATAGTTGACTATGAACAAGTATCATAGACTTAACTCCATCTCATTCCTTAGGAATACCCAGACTCTTCTGTCACATCCTCCCTTCCATCTGGTCATTCATGTTAACAAAATGTCATTGTTGACTCCAAGAGTGTTGATAGTGGAATTCGGTTTTTTGATCCCAAAGCTTTCTTCTCAGATCTTCCTTTATTGAAGGTGCTTAATAAATGTTGTTAATACCCAAGCTCCTCCGGTTAATTTGGCCACACCCTCTAAAAGTTAGAATTTTTATTAGTGACAAGGATTCTAGGAATACCAAAAAGAATACATTGACAATGTTCATCGGAGGAGAAAGACTTGAAATTTATCCCTTCCCAAATAGCAACTTATGCAAGAAAAGTGGTGAGAATGTTAACACCTTTCATCTCTTGTAAGTTAGCAACTGACACAGGGATCCCAACATAATCTTATCAAAGAGACTAGAGGCTTCGAAGATTAATTAGAAAATGAATGAGTTATTAATTGGTTCTTTGGTTGATAGCTTGGCCAAGATCAATATTGAGAGGAGTTATTGTTGGGGTTCTTTTATTCTGGACAAGTTCTCTTTCTATTCTGTATTTGTTCTTTCTTGTTAGTACTCTAGGTAGCTTGTTGTGGGTAAGAACCCTTTTATGTTATTGCTTATATATTTTCATTTTGATCATTAATAAATTTCCGTTATTCGTCCACTTTTCAATCCTCCATCAAAGAATAAGATCTTTTATTCCTATTATCAGCCTTTGCAGAAAGAAGAAGAAACCATAAATAATTAAAGCAAATGGGCATCTTCCTCAATAGCCCGAACATTGATACTGCAAATGCAGGTAAGCGATTTGATATCAACTACCAGTTTTTATGAAATATAATTAAAGCACCTAAAACTGCAATCTTTAGCTGCAAAACCGTACTTATCCAATTAGATAATTAACAAACTCCTTGAAGAAGTGGTTCATTTCTTGGTGATCATCCAATAAAGAAGAATTGAATAGAAATCGAATTCTCCACGAACAGAGATGAAAAACAATAAAGGAGAGAAATTTCAGAGACGGAGCGAGAGAAGACTACCTGTAAACAAATTGTCGGAGCCTAACATGCCTAGGGCTAATTAGACGACGCTGAATCTTCAAAACGAGCTTGTAAGTGCGTTTCAGTCCCAAGAAGTAAGCGGTTCCCAATGTGATCTCCCACAGCACCATCTCTCTCGGTTTTGGCTTCTACGAAAATTTGATTCCTTCCCCTCTTTCTTCATGTTTTCATCTGGCGCAAGTCTCCCGAGTTCCTGTATCTGGGGGCTGCCAGAAGACTCATCTCGATCTTCTTTCTTAGCACGTGTTCCGCAGACAAGAATCCATAGATACGCATAACAAGAAGCAAAGCCCATGAGCCATAGCTAGCATATGATAGCTCAAGCCCAAGCCCATCACACCTAACTATATTGGATTTGTCCACCTAATTGCATTCCAGCAAAAATTGCTTCTGAAAGTTTATTTTTGTGATAACTTGACTTTGATCCCATCAGCATACGCTTTCTTGTCTTTCATTAGTTTGTGTTCGTTTTCTATGCAAAAGTGGAAAAACAGAGAACACACTTTCCAATTGTTAGGACTTAGGAATTCCAAAACAGTTTGGAAATTTATGAACTTGTCTGAATAGGCTAAGCCCAGCTCAGTCCTAGTCAGGCTGGGCCTGTTTGGTGGACCACCCATTGGCATTGAATATTAATTTAACAAGTGCAAATATGAGAGGGGCCCAACCAATGCTATTCAATTCAGACTGGGCCTGTTGGGCAACCCATTCCCACCAATCAATTTCTTAAAAAAGCCCTGCAAGTAGCTCAAACAGCCTTTGTTGGGTCCCCTTTGTTTCATTAATCAACTTGGTAGAGGAAAACCAACTTACCTACTTCAAAGGATAAAATTCAAAAAAAAAAAGAAAAAGAATTAGTAATACTCAAGGAGAGGAAGAAAGGGTAAACTAGCCACCCCATTCTTTTTGTTCTCATTTAAATAAACAAAACAAACATGCCTTTTTCTTTGTTGGTTTCTTTTTGCTTTTCTTCTTTTCCTTTTCATTATTGCTTAGTGGTGTTTCTTTTTTGTATGCTTTTCTTTCATACATCTTAGTCTATTTGATCTTTGAAAGAATCATTCATTCTTATCATACTGAACTACCATATCACTATCGCTAACCCATTAAGAAAATCAGAGAGAAATAGAAAGTTAGGGAAAGTTCTTAACTAATTTAGGAAATTCCTTAACAATTCGCAGTCTATCGCTACATGTTAGGCAGGTCTAACCCTAGTTTTTTATGCAGGTTTGGCTTGATTTTCTTAATTGTAGGCTGACCTTGGTCCAAGAAACTCTTGAGTTTCTTAATTGTAGGCTGACCCTGGTCCAGGAAACTTGGGCCTGACCTAAATTTGGGTTGGGCTTGGGTTGAGCCCTTGGGTAGCCTGAGCCCAACTCAAGCCCAATCGAACAAACACATATATGCTAGGAATGGCAATGGGGCGGGTTCGGGGCGGGGATTACATTCCCCATCCTTGACCCCGACCCCCCAAATCACCCCCCATCCCGGSGGGAAAGGAGTCCCCCCTCCATCCCCGCCCCCGACAGGGATGAATTTCCCATCAGAGACCCAAATCCCTAACAAGATATGTATGCACACATCCTGGATCATACTATGAAAGACTGAGAGTCTGAGACAAAGAGATTGAGATTGAGACTGAGAGAGAGAGAGAGAGAGGACCATTGCGAGAGTTGAGGTTGGCGACGAGAGAGAGAGTCCGACGGGTGACGACGACGACAACGACGGTCAGCGACGATAAACAAAGGTTGAAGTTACGACAATCAGCGAGTGGCGACAGTAGCTCTTCTCTGTCACTCGAGTATCTCTGTCCAATAAGCGAGTGGCGACAGCGATGATGGTCGGCGAATTGGTGACCAGCGACAAAGACGAAGGAAGAGTGGAAAACGAAGGCATGAAGCTAGGGACCTAGGGTTCAGAGATAGAGTTCTCTCTTCTCTCTGTCGAAGAGTTTTGTGTTTTATTGTCAAGGGTTTTAGTATTTTACTATTTTTTAAGTTTTAGTCTTTAAAAAAATGAATAATTATTATTATAATTGTATTATATTATATATATATATATAAATTGGGGATGGGTTGGGGCGGGAATTGCATTCCCCATCCCCGAACCCGACCGGGGATTCAAAGGTAGCCCCATCCCTGACCCCATCAGGTCGGGGAGCCCGGGTACCCGTCGGGGATGGGGAAAATTGCCACCCCTAATATATGCATACATGACTGCATTTTATTTATATAAAGATATCTTTTATTTAATTATATACATGTATATGTATATTTGCATTTTGTAACTATAATTTGTACATATTTTCAATCAATTATACTCCTAAATTTGTGCATATATTCATAAATTCTTTCAAACTTGACCAACCCACCCAAGTTCAACTAAGCTTGACCTCACCCAGCTCGAGCTTGAACCTAGCTCAAATTGTGTTAAGTTATGCTCAGGGTTAGGCTTGGGTTAATAAACTCAAAATTGAGCTTGTGTTGGATCAAACCCAAACCCAACGTTTGCACATTTTATGGTTTGGGCTTGGATTGAATGCCAATCTAACCCATCCCACCCACTTGCACCCTTAACACAATTTAAAGAGCTAAGAGGCTAGGACTAGATCAAGTTGTTCAAACTACCCTAAAACATATCATAAAAATATAGGCGGTGTTTGACAAGTCTTTTATATAGTCTTCTGGGCTTCAACAAGCACAAAATACTGAAAAATCGACATTTTTCCATTTGATAACCAAAAGCTAGAAAGATGAGAAGACACATGTGTGGAAAGACCCGGAAAGATAAAAAACGCCAAATTTTGGGAAGTTTCAAATGAAGCTTTCTGGCCTTTTTGCGTGATATATGGCTGTTAACCATGTTTTTAAAAGCCCAATAGACCGAGCCGCTTACCGAACGGTCTTTGCCTTTAAATATAAGACCCCAAAAGCTCAATATGTCTTTTGTCTATTTGGACTGCTGGAAGATATTTGTAAAAAGACTTGCCAAATGGCACCATAATTTATAACACATAGCCTTCTCATCAATGGACTGGATTGTCTCAATTTCAGTTTCTTTGATACTAATTAGGGGTGTCAACAGGCCATGTTATATATATACAAATATTTGAGTGTGTACAATGTTAATGGGTGGAGTTCAGTGTGGACTTATCATAATTCAAAGTATCAATATTGTAGATATACAAAAAGTCCGTGTATAAAGTCTTCAGCCATAAAAATATTTAAATGAATATTAATGTTTAAACCTATTAAAAGGACATAAACCTTAATATTTTGAGACTTTGAAAATCAATACCTATTAAAAGGACATAAACCTTAGATTTAACTGAACCAAAAAAACCAATTAAAGTTGATTTGAACGTGATGGTGTTAGATCAGTGCAGTTTATCACTTAATCCAACCCATTAACATCCCTAATACTATGTATATATATATATAAGTAAATCAATTTGCGTTTCAATTTGATCTAAAGAAAATGAGGCCCCGTTTGATTTGCAGGAATAGGGGTCTGGAATCGGAATCGGAATGGGCTATTCCAATTCCAACTGTTTGGTTGGGCGGAACTGGAATCCCATTCCCATTTCTGCTGGAATGGCATATCCCCATTTGAGGGAATGGCCATTCCCTGCCTCTCCTTTGGGAATGAAATCCCATTTCTACTGATTTTAATTCATATTCCTATTTAAACCAAACAGACTATGGGAATGAACCATTCCGATTCCGATTCCAAAGGATTTTGATTTCGATTTCGATTCCGATTCTGACTACAAACCAAACGGACCCTGATATTTGTATTTGTCTTTATTCTCTGTGCCACATGCGTGTTAAGGAGTGGAGAGAGACTATGAGAGATCCATTGTAAAGAAATCTCAAAAATAACTAAATTAAACACAAATGCACTTCACTTGTTGGAGTATATATATATATATATATAAAAAGTACGAATAGGGTCCCTATCTATTATGAGGGCAGAGAATGTAATTTGAATACTATTATTCATTGCATTCAATTCTCTCTCATTAAATTCTATTTAAGGTATTAATTCTCATTCACCCTCATTTAACCATACACTTAAGGCATTTTTGTTTCTTTTAATTACTAAATTCCACTAATTAAATTCATACATAAATAACTCTAATAACATACAAAATTAAACAATTTTGGGTCAAATAGGCGAACCCATGTTGCATTGTTGCCACAATTAAATAATAAAAATTAAAACTTGATAAAATGCAAAAAAATGGAAATTACAGAAAAATTTGGGAACATTTTTAATATCATATATTCATCATACTAGACAAGAATAAGTATGATAAATAAGAAATACTTTTATTAATGATGGAAATTGAATACAAAATTTAAAACTAATTGGAAATAAAATTATTTTCTTATTCTCTCTCATTAAGTCTCATATCTAAGGTATATTCTCTCATTAAATCCTATATTTAAGATATATTTTTCTCATCATTAAATTCTATTAATTAAATCCACAACATTGATTTTAAAAGTATAAAAATAAATACTTTGAAAAATAATTTGAAAATAAAACCATTTTCTTCCCTCCCAGTGGTGGGTAAGCAATTTAACCATTTGGGTCAAATGGGTTAACCAATAATGCCATAATTAAATAATAAAAATCAAAATAAATAATATATATAAATTGATCATATCTCTAATATTATATATTCATTATATTAAATAAAATTAAGTATAAAATATAATAAATATTTTTATTAATGATGGAAATGGAATTACAAATCTAAAATAAACCTTGAAATTAAATTAAATGATGTCATAGTCAAATAATAAAATTTTTATAATAAAAATACAAAAAAAAATCACAAAAATGAGAACAATTTGGGCACATATTTGATGTTATATATTTATAAAAAATAAAATATTGAGTCCACCTATAATATTATACATTCATTATATTGAACAAAAGTAAGTATTATATATAATTTTATCAATGACAGAAATGCAATAATAAATGGTTTAGGTGGTGGGTTAGTGGTTTGGGTTAAATGGATTAACCAATGATGTTATAGTAAAATAATATATTTTTAAAAAATAAAAAAGGTATAAGGAATAAAAAATATAAAAATTATAAAAAATTTGGACACATATCTAATATTATATATTAATTATATCGAATAAAAATTAAGTATGATAAACAAACATTATTTATATAATGTAGACGAAATATATAATTTAAAATTGATATGAAAGCAAGGCTATTTTCCTATCTAGATGGTGGGTTAATGATCAAACTTTTCAAATAAACTCATGGTGATGTCATAATTGAATAATAAATATTTAAAAAAGATAGAACATAAAAAATGAAAAGTATACAATTTTGTTAAAAACATTTGGGGACATTTCTAATATTATATATTCATCATATTAGATAAAAAATTTCAACGTACAATGCACGTCAACATTTACTAGTATATATATATATATATTCCGGCAAGTGAAGTGCAATTGTTCAACCGGAGAGATGGAGAAAGCTATAAAAGATGAATTTACTTTTCAAAGTCGTCTTCTTTTTCTTTATTTATTTTTTCCTTTCTTCTGAAGTAGAAGTAAAGCATGAATTAAGAAACGAAAGTCCAATCAGAAACTATTAAAGAAAGATGTCTGACACTCTCACTTATAAACTTATGTCTTATATATAATTTTAGTCTACAAATTCCACATTTAACAATTCTAAGGCGTGAAGAAGGCCTAAGCTTAAGCATGCAAAGAAATCCAGGAAAAGAAATGGCTGTCTAGCGTCTACGTTATAAAGTATAAAAAACTTTGGCTGTTATCTTCAGCACACAACTTGGGCCGGGTTGGCCCGAACCCAACCCCAATCCATTGGGTTGGGTCAGGTTGATGTTCTGGTTAGGATTAGGGTTTAAATTTATGAACCTGACTTTACTTCGGGTTGGGTTAGGGTTGATCTCTCGGGCAATCCGATCCAATCCGAACTCGAACTTGACTCTATAGTACATATATATCATATATAAATATATGTTATATATATGATACCACACATTGATTTGTTTATATGCATGATAGTTGTAAAGCCCCTACTACATACTATCATTTATTTCTTTTAAGATAATCACTTCACTTAACCCTAATTGGAAATACCAAAACCTTAATAACATTTTTTTATATTTTTTGAATATTTTATTGTTTATCTCTTCTTTGTTGTTTGCCACCCATAGTTTAATGCCCATAAAAGATCTATTATAAGCTATAGCTCATAATAAACTATAATCATTTCAAACACTTTTTTTTTTGAATTTTGTACTTAAAGAATCAATAAAAACATCAAGAAATAAATACTAATAAAACATAGGATTAATATATGTAGTGAAAGTTGAGTTAAGATTTGAGATTAGAACTTATGGTTGGGCTAGGGTTAGGGTTGAAGGAATTTAGTTAGGGTTAGGGTTGGAGGTTTAGAACTTAGGGTTGGCCTCAACCAAATCTAACCTGGCCCGACTTGCAGCCCTAAGTAGTTTACATTGTCAGTGGGGATGAAAACGGATCGGATCGGATTTGAATCAGGGTATATTTGAATCTGGTCCAACACTATTCATATTGGATTTGATCCGATCTAATACTGTTTATGTTGGATCCGATTCGATCTGATATTGTTCATGTTGGATTTGATTTGATCTGAAATCCGATTGGATCTGATATGACTCAATTTGAATTCAAATCCTACCGGTAAGTCAAATATTCAGATCTCATCCAATCCGACTTGTTTTTTAAATATTAATAGATTATTAAAAGATAAATAAAATATACTAATTTAAATAAAATAAAATAAAAACAAAATATAACACATATATATATACATGTGTTTTATAAATAAATAAATAATATAACAAATTTATAAATAAATAAATAACATATATATATATGTATTATATATTTATATTTATAAATATATAATATATAATGGGTCGGATAGGGTGGTGATCTGAAACCGATCTGAAATCTGACTTGAAATTCGAACAGGGGTGATCCAAATTCGACCAAATAGGATAGGATAGGATCGAATCGGATCATGATCCGATCCATTTGCACCCATAGTTGTCCATAGACTCTCTCCGGACAAATTAATTCATACTAGAGGTGTAAATTGGGTCATGACGCCCGCGGCTCGACACGGCCTAACCCAACTTTAGACCGGTCTGGCACAATGGCACGTGGGCCATGCCAGGCCCAGCACGATGGTTCATGCCATGCTAGGCCTAGGGTTTTAGGTCCGTGGACCGAGCCAGGCCGACACGACCAAGCGGGCCATGCTGCCCGCGGCCTTCGTGCCGACACGGCCTAGCTCGCGGCCCGGCCCGACATGACCCAGCACGACCCATATATATTTTATATTATATATAATATTTATATATATAATATATAATATATTATATAAATTATAATTATATAATAATATATAGTATATAATATATTAATAAAATAAACAATTGTTTTCAACTTTATTATACTAATTTATTTAATTATTATATATAAGCAATTGTATACATCAAAATTCATATAAAATTAAAATTTTAAGTTTTTTTTCAATTTTTTAAATAAATAGGCAAAAATAACTTTGGCTTGGTCCATGGCCCGATTTGGGCCAAGGCTTGGCCCACGGACCAGCCTGGCCTACAACATGGGCCTGCACGGGCTTGGGCCATGGGCCGGGCCGAACCCCAAACTATTCACTAGGGAGGGTGGCACGGCCCATGACGGCCCGCACTTTGCACAGGCCACTCGTGATCCGGCACGACCGGCCCACTTTACACCTCTAATTCATACAGATAATTATGGGTCGAACTGGGCCAATGCTAGGCTTTGCACCTGTGACGAGGGCTATAGCCTGGGCCTAGGCATCGCCTGATCCTATCTGCACTGGCTCATATAATCTTCCAGCTCATGAACCCAGCCAGGACCTCGATAGGCCCATTCAAAGCTTCCCTTTTCTCTTCATCCAAACAACTCAACGACACCTCCCATAGGCCCCATGTTGGATACAGCTGATATAAAGAAACCCAGGTTTGATTCGATGCTCTTTATCCATCTAACATATTTGGTCCACGTGTACATTGTACAGGGATTGGCATCCACCATAATCTGCCCCCACTTGAGATATTTCATCCACACAGGGCGCCTCACAACAACCTCACATGTTAAGCACAATGTTAGAAGTTTAAGAAATAATTTACAAATTGGATAGTTGGAAACTTGGAAATCATCTGACCCTTCTAATTTTTGGTTTCTGTGGATGGGCACGGCAGCACCTAAGGCTAAGGAGCAACCACGACCGTCAAAAGCGAGCACGGCTAGAACAAGTTCAGACTTCAGACTTTCCACGAACAAAAACAATACGATTGACAAACCAAAACCACTTTTTCTGTTCTATGGACCCAATATTAATAATACTCTGTCAATTGGTCGGGTTAAAGGGTAAAATCCGGATCAACCAAAATTCGGACGAGGGTTTTAATGCTTCAAAATCGGTTCGGGTTGACGCCCGTACCGAACCCGATCCGTCGACACCCCTACTCAACACGAAACCCTAATTCGGATGCCGATATCAAACTCCATGTTACAAGTTAATAAAATACTACTACAAATGGAAACTGTTGATCAGATCGCTACGATCAACTTCCCGATCCAGCGGTTGCGATTTTGATCCGGAAGAAGTGTGCGTATTACGCAATGCGCACGCACTGTTACCCTATTTAGAAATCTACAGATACAGACTGCAACCTGCTTGTGCTTGTTGAGCGACTAAATCCAGTTAATACGCTCCCCACATTCCAAGATTAATCCATTATTAAATGGTAATTAAAAACTAATCAATTAATTAAAACCATGGTATTCCAACTAAGCAAATAGTCTTTTCCAGCTTTCTTTCCCTACTCAATTCATTGAAAACTGGACAGTGAGAGCCTGTGAAGCAAATAAGGGCACAGCTGGAAATAAAAAAAGCCATTAATATCAAATTGAGAAAAGGAAAGAAAAACGAATGGCTTGCAATTAAAAGGCCTAGACAGCAAAGGCATCATCATCATCATTATCATCGTCTCTCCCTCCCCACCCCCACTTGTCTCTCTCTCTCTCTCTCTCTCTCTCTGCTTCTTTCAACATGCAAAGACAGTCTCTAGGCTCGCCTGGGTCGAAGCTCCAAAGCCATGGCGTAGGAAAAGAAGAGAGGGTCGATGAGGAGGACCATAAGAAAAGGGAAAGCGCCGGTGTTGGCGGTTGTGGAGCCGTTGCGGACGAAGAAGAGAACAAGGGAGAGAAGCTTCACCGGTCGATGACTTACCGGGCCGACAGATCCATACATCTGATACCAATCATCACGATCTTCTGCTTTCTCGTTCTCTACCTTTGTTCTTACGATCCTTCTCAAAAAGGTATACTTTATAAACTGCGATAGTTGTTTATCTCTTTTCATCGCTCTTCTCTGAACACTATCTACTTATCCTCGCAGATTTAGCTCATTTCAATGGTTTCCAGAGGTCCTCGAAGCCCATAGGTATAATGCAGCTCCTTTAGTTGTTCTGATGAGGTTTATCCGCTTTTTTTCTCTAGTTTTTTTATTCATTTCATTTTTTACATGAACTGGTGGATCAGATTCGACAGAGATCGGAGATTTCGGGCGGTTTATAGATATAGAGAAAGGAGATTTGTTGGCGATACGGAGCCATCGGAGCTTGCAGGAGGTCGGGAGGGATGCTCGTAAATCCCGGTTCCACCGAAAAATCGCCGATTTCTAGATCGCATTATCCGGTTCTTTTCCAATCCTCTCTTCCTTTGCTCTGATGTGCTCTGTCGCTGCTTCCATAGTTCCACCCTTGGCTTCGCACGCTCGAGTTCTTGGCTTCTGCTGGAACTCGCGCGTGTGTAACTGGCTCGCGGCCATTTGGCTGCACTTGTGCCTCTCTCTGATTAGAGATTGTATAAAGAAACAGACTACGGGTCTCCATTTTTACACGATACAGACTACACAGAAGAATAAAACTCAGCCCTTTCTCGCTCCTCAGTTTCCTTACAGAGCCGAGATTGCTAACGTGCACCCGTTTAGTTGCCTCTAGTAACCTGTGCCACTGCGCTGCTTTCCAGCTGGAATTGACCGTTGCTGTCTCCGAGCGAGCTCGGTTGAATCGCCAGCTGGGAAGAGTACTTGTTGATCAGATTGTACAGGTCCGCGTGGCGTTGGTTAGTAATGGCAGCGCACGATTTATGTTCTTCCTCTTTAAATTTTCTGCTTAAAATCGGCGATTACCGGCATGCCGAAAAATAATCGCCGCTTGGAAAGATCACGTGTCGGGTTACTTCACTACTGTAGAACCAACACGTCATATCACTGTACACAACACACGAGTCGTGTTCGTGTGCGTGTGCGTTGATGCCATTCGTGGGGCCCGCCACCGATAATGGGCGAACCGGGAGAGGAAAGAAACGGTCTAGCCGGTACTCAGCAGAGGTTGCTACGACCCTTATAGAAATAACGGTCAAGATTCTCTCCATCGTTTGTAAGGGCCATGATTATCCAATGTATCACGGGTTTCATGTTATCTAGCGCTGAAATAGAAGATGGGTCCCCCTCTGACTTTATCTTATTTTATTCCAATCGAAAGATTGAGGGAGGAGGGTGAATGAGCGTTGTAGTATATGAATTGATGATTGTCCAAATTTAAGAGTGAAAGCGATTGCCGGTGTCGGTGACTTTATCTCAAAATATATGCGGGCCACCGAATTATGGTGCGTCGGTGTCATTATTTTGCCTTAACAACTTTGTATTAAATTGTTAATTCATGATTTGAAGAAGTTGAAATATTTGAAGGTGGTGGGGTTCGGTAAATCTTAGCTCTGATTAAGCGCTGGGATCAAACTTTTTGATCATCCTGATTCAGTGGTTAAATGTGTATAGACACCTCTTAAACTAATCTCTATTCGCTAATAGGAGGAGACCCCTCTTTCTTTCTTTGTTGGGTAGTGAATAGCCTGCAGAAATGGGTTGAAGTTAAGCTAGTTGTCAGTGTCTGAATTTAGTAGGAATGTGATCAATTTCCTGTAAGGAGAAACAATGGATTCAAAAAAGATGTAATCAATTAGTAATTAACTACTCGAGCATTTGTCATCATGTCACGCACTTGAATGAAACTTGGAGAGGGTAGAAGGGGGTGTGTGTGTAATGTGCTCCTCTTTTACTGGGTTATTAACAATATTTTGAGTATCAAGTTTTTTAAATTGGGGAAACACTTTTTTGGAAGACAACGCTTTTTATCATTGTGTTGCCACGTTGATTGCCGTTATGAATGTGTGGTGGTTTTATGATGGCACCAAATATTGTCCCATATGCTTTTTCTGCTATATTTAATTGTTATTTTAATTTTTTAGAGAAAATTTCCGAATATTACTCTATATTTTGGGCCTAGTGGTACTTTGGTCCTGAACTTTAAAATATGATAATTCAATATCCAAACTTAAAAAATGTGTTAATCCAATATTTGTAATTCTCTTTATGAACCGTTTAAATGTTGGCGAAAAAATGAACAATTCAAAAGCTTTATCTCTTCTATTTAAGAAAGTTGGGGTCAAATGTTTCTCAGTGGGTATTTAAGAAAAAATGAACAATTCAAAAACTTTCTTAAATAGAAGATTGTAAAGATATGGGATTATTTATTTTTTATCAATGTTTAAATGGTTGATAAAAAAATTAGATGGTATTCGAAGGACATTTATATCTTTTCAAATGTCACTTAAAAGGTTTGGGGATCAAAATATCATTAAGCCCAAAGTACAGGGTATCAGGATTTTTCCCTTTTTTTAATTGAAAAAAGATGGAGAAGACAAAAAGCTTATTCTAACATGCTCTAACAAAATAATTTACCTGGACTAAGGAGGGTGTTTTTCTATGTGAATGTGAATGGTTTTAGTTTTTACAATAAAAATTATTAAGGATCGTGAAACATGCAATTGGGAACACAGATTTAGTCTTCACAAAATCAGACCTCACACACCATTACAGCCTTTGAATTAGGGATGTTCATATGAATCGCATAATCCTAGTCTGAAGGGTTTTTATTTTGGATCTTTGGATTTCAATTTTGATAACAAAGTTTTAAATTGTGGGACAGTAATTTTGGATAGGGGTGTCAAACTGTCAATCGTCCGGTTTTGGTTTGGATCCAATCTGATCCAAACCTTATCAAATTGGATTTGGATGGTTTATTATAATTATTGGATTGAGCCAATCCAAAATAAATTGGTCCAATTGGTTTGAATTGGATCTAAACCAAATTTCCAATAATCCAATCATGAGGCCAAACCCTTGTCCAATTTGAAATCAATCAAAACTGAAGTTAATATAAAATTACTTTTATGAAAGTACATTTAGGAAAGCACTTTTACGAAAACACTTTTGTAAAAGCACTTTTATAAAAGTAATTTTATGAAAAGTATTTTTATGAATGCACTTTTATAAAAATACTTTTATAAAATCATTTTTATAGAAGCACTTTACAAAAGTATTTTCATGAAAGCACTTTTATAAAAGTACTTTTATGATATTACTTTTACAAAAAAAGCTTTTACAGAAGTACTTTTATAAAAGCACATTTACGAAAGCACTTTTGTGGAAGAACTTTTATAAAAGAATTCTTATAAAATAACTTTTACGAAAACACTTTTACAAAAGTACTTTTATGAAAGCACTTTTATAAAAACACTTTTATGAAAGCATTTTTACGAAAGTACTTTTATAAAAGTACTTTTACAAAAGCACTTCTACAAAAATACTTTATAAAAGTCTAGAAGTATTTTTTCTAAAATACTTTTACAAAAACACTTTTACGGAGTATTTTCAATAAAGTACTTTCACAAAATTACTTTATGAAAATACTTTTATCAAAGTACTTTTGCATAAGTGTTTTTTCAATGCCAAAAGTTTTTATATAATTTTTGATATTTCTTCAGTTTGGATTGGATATCCAATCCATTTATATTTTAATGGATTGGATTAGATTTGGTTTGTATTGGATTTGGACTGGACTGGGTCTAATCCATTTGTAAGTGGACTCACATTGGACTGGATCGGATTGGACCAAATCCAGTCTAATTAACACCTCTAATTTTGGGGTGAGATTTCATGGAGATATGGAATAGTATTTATTTTTTCTATTTAAATTCGGAGTAGGTTTGGATTATGAAGATTTTGCAAATGGACCTTTCTATTCAAGTGACAAATGAACTTTGGCCGTTGGGTGGTGATTTGGATACAGTTTCTCTTTTTTTTTTTTGGATAAATGGGCCCCATTCCTCGACTGTTAGCAAGACCAGGGTGTCAATAAATATTATATCCAATTAATTAATATAAATATCTATAAAAATTAATATAATTAAGACCCTTAAAAGAATCAGGTCCAACTAAGGCTGCATTTGGCATTTCTTATTTTAAGGATTTATCTTTTTTTTGCAGTTAATATATCTCTATAAACATTGAGTTTTTAACTGTAAAAAGGAGATGAATCATTAAATAAGAAATGCCAAATGCAACCTTATGCATTCCTTGTTTTAAAAATTTATCTCCTTTTTACGGTTAAAATATTCATATATCTTGAATTTTTAATTGCAAAAAGGAGATAAATCGCTCAAATAAAAAATGCCAAATGCAGCATAACTCTACACCGGCTGAAAGGACCTGAATATTTTTTCTCAAAGGTACGAATTAACATCTGAAGTCATATTCACCCTTCTTATTTCTACCCATTTCCATGAAATAAATTGTAGATTTTGTGGTTTTTATATAGAACCCTAAAGTGGGCTGTGCCGCCCACAGACTGACAGGGCCCAATATATGACTGTCATGATAGCAAGTGGGCCATGCCAGCCCTGGCCCAAGCCACCATTCGGTACCAGGTTAGGGGTTTTGTGGCCCACAGGCATGGCACAACCCATATTTCAATTTTATTATACTATTTTATTTTAATTTTATTGTATTTTTTTAATTTTATTTTATTAATTCATATGTAAACAATTGTATAAAATAAAGTTTTAAGATTCTTTAAATTCTTATCTATATTGTTAATTTATTTTAACCTTTCATCTTTTTCAATTAAAAAAAAAAATCATGCCACCAACAGCACAGCCCTAGCTTCACCACACGTGCTAAATACGTTCTACTTTGACGTTGCTTTTCCAGCATCCACTTTATTTGATAGATGTGAATGTGCCACATTATTATCTTTATAACAACTAGCCACGTGGCACATATGAATACATGATGCCCACAAACAATTGGTAGAAAGCCTAGTGTACCATATTATTTACAACTTAATTTAAGAGAATCTACCCCAGATCAAGTATCAAGATTGGAGACATGAAGTTGACATGGCACATGGATGGTTGGATCTTGCATGGACCACCAGCGAGCACGAAGCCAAGAAAGTATAAAATGTTGGCATAAAAAAAGGACGACCTTTATTACTGCTGAACTAACCACACTGAATCCATTTACTTGTGATCCAAACCATGGTTTTCAAAATCGGACCGGAAAAACTAGGAACCGGTTAGGTGATTGGTTCCGTTTTTCCCCAAAATCGTTAATTTTGGTCAGCAAACTGTTGATTCAGGTGGTTAATTGTTCGAACCGTTCAAACGGTTTTGATCGTTTTTAATATTTTTTATTTTTTTGTTAGAACGGGCCAATCATTCGGTTTGAACGGTGAGACTGTTTAACCTGGGAACCAGACCCCTGACCGGTCCATTCTCCGAGTCGGTTTTAAAAACCTTGATCCAAACAAATTTAATAAATTCAACTATACTTCATATATTTTTTTTCTTTTTTTTTCATGGGGGTACAACACAACTGGGGGGTGGCCCGTCCCCCCTACTCACAACCAAAATCAACCTTCACTGCATTGTTGTGGCCTCACTTTTAATTGGATGAAGCGACCATAGTTGTCAAGAAGATGCCTAAGCAACAAGGCGCCCTTGAAGGCTCGCTTCACCCAGTCGCCAAGTAATTTTGTGCGTTATGTTATAAAATACTTTTATATTTTTAATTTTTTGACATTATAATTATAAAATAGGCATTATTAAACTAGAATACTCATTTTATGTGTTTATGTACTAATTTCTTTTTACTATTTTTTTATTTGTTAGGGTTTAATTAACACAAACATTGCTAACTGTTGTATTGAACCTATGATTCAAAGTATCGATACACCTTTTTGTATCGGTAGAGGTGTATCAGTACTTATAATGATACTCCCCCTATTTTTTTTTATTTCTTCGGTTTTCAATTTCATATATATATATATATATATATATATATATTTAAAAAATGGGTTCCTGAAGATACCTATAAACATGTGTATTGGGGCGCCAAAGATACAATACAATACACCCGATATGGGGCGTATCGTATCAAAGTTTTGATCCTTGATTGAATCCTTAAAGATTTCATAACCTTAACCAATAAGCAAGGGAAGAACTTAAAATTTTGTCTAATCAACACATTTCTTCTTACAGATCTTCTTCTTCCACCTTTTCTTTTCTTCTTTTCCTATAACAAAAGTAGGAAATTTTCTTCTCATAAAATGTTGATCTTCTAAACTTAAACATGAAATCTACTTCTAATATGAAAATCATGGATAATTATTAAGGAAAGATGGTTATGGAACCTAAGGAACTACCTTAGGATATATGGTTTTACTTAAAAAATCCATCGCCTACTCACCTTGGCACCTTAAAAACTATGGACGTGACGTAAAATGAGTCCA